TCTCTCTCTCTCTCTCTCTCTCTCTCTCTCTCTCTCTCTCTCTCTCTCACACACACACACACACACACACACACACACACACACACACACAAGACAATATCATAGCGCTACAGTGAGGGAGCTGTGAGTACTATGCCATTTATGTATGTCTCCTTGCTTACAATTGTAATCCTTATACTGTTGCTGATTTCGCAGACGTTGTTCGCTGGATAGAAGAAGAGCACTGTGCCGTCTGCCCAGACAACGACAGCGCTGCGCCTGGGGTGAACATAGACGTCCTGGCTATGGCATTTATGGGTAGGCGACTGCAATTCCAGCCTGCTCCGCTAAACCACGAGCCAGGCACGGATCCGAATATTCGGGCATATATCTTATATCGTCCAGGTCACTTCAGCGCTCTTACCTTTGCAGATAATTCATGGACCCTATGGGACAATGGCGGTAGGGTGCACGGAGTGGGAAATATTAACTCTTTCTATCACCAAATGTTGGAGGGTCACTTGCAAGCACTGCAACCCCCGGAGAGCAATCATGCTGATTCTACCACAAACAGTGAAATGACCTCTCCACAGGATGATGGCTGTGCCCTCCCGTTGTGTCGTCGCACAGGTACAGATCAGTTGGCATGTACACAACATAGCCTCTGCTCCGAACACTATGAAGGGATGGTCGCTGCTAGCCTCTCACACGAAAATTGCGATCCCCAGTCCTGTGCTCATCGCCCCCACCCCCTGATTACTTGCCCAGCATGCCGTTGTGCCCTTGATCTGCCATGCTTAAATAACTGTGCACGTCAGCCTTTCATACTAATGACATGTCAGCAACATGCCATGTGTCGTCAATGCTTCCAGGAAGCTGTCATAGCAAGTATGTGTCTTTACTGCGTGGACTATCCCCGGTGCCATCACCCTCCACATTCTCTCCTAGCATGTCCCACATGCGGCATTGGTCATACACCTACGGGAACCGCTGACGGATCTCCCTCTTTCTTGCCAGACGAACGGTGAACACAACAGTCCGAGGAGGAAAATAGACTTCTATATGAACCACCGGCAGAGCGACATGCTCTATAGTTTATCACCACCAGGGCTGGCTGTTGCGGATCAAATCCTCCCTGTCGTCGTCTGCCCGTAGAGAAGGAATACATACTGAGGAAGCCCAAGAAAGATGCTCCATGCTGTTTTGTGATGACCCGCTAGAGATTCAACTAGCATGTGGTTCACATGCCTTGTGCCGTGAGGATTATGAAGGTATAGTCCATGCGAGTTCTTGCTTCCATACGTATGATGACAGTCAGTACTGTACTCTTGTACGGCACCCCGACATGTCATGTCCAATTTGTAGACGGGCTGGAACGGCAGTGCCTCTATAATTGTTGTCGACGTGCCTCTGTGTTCCTAGCATGTATGAGCCACGTAGCCTGTGACGTCTGTCTGCGCTGCGCCATTCGATGCAGCAACTGTGACTGCAAAAATTGGATGCAGTGCTTCCATAGCTTACACCCGAACCGGTCCTGTCCGGTCTGTAGGGGTGGCCACTCGCTATACGTGTTTTCTTTGTCAGCGGTGAATATTGCAATCAGACTCGCTCTCATCCACACTTCGCATGCATGCAAACAGGTGCGCAGCAAACTGGCAATAAGCGCCCACTTAAAACTCAGAGATATGGTAGCCAAGAACACAGTTCAGGTACAAGTTCACTTCAATGGCTATGGCGACTCAGCGCCCACACAACTCTCTGTTCGCACACACAGGATCACCCTGGATATCCCACATGCGATACTCTGTACACACACACACACACACACACACACTGAACTCTATCTACAGCTATGGCGGCTATGGCCGCTGCTAACCTATCGCTATGGCTAAGCTTCTTCTCTCTCGCCCACTTCGTCGTTGGGCTCACGGCAGACCACCTAGCACAAGTCGCTGTATCAGCGCTTCCGCATGGCTCACGCAGGAATGAATGAATGGCTGGACGCTGCCCTTTGATTTATACTTCTGTAGCTCGTTGGTCTGGCCCCGTGGTGCACACAGTCCCATGTGGTACTTGCTTGACTGGACTAGGACTGACTGGGACCGGTACTGCTGACTGCATGGGTTTGCACTGCCAACTCGATGCAGTCGCACTGCCAGCGTACTGCAGTTGGGCTCACCACTTGCCCACTTGCCCACTTGCTTCAGCCAAAACATGAGCAACTTCGAAAGGCCACTACTAGGACCTTCCGGAAGTCTGGGCCCTGGCCTTTCGAAGACTGTAGCAGCTACGACCTTGACCCTTCAGGACTGTAGCAGCTACGACTTCTAGAACTCCCTAAGACTTCTATTCGGCAGACCTATTGGCATAGTTTAAAATAAAGAAAAGTGATATCTTTTTTTTTTCTATCATTTTTTGTTTCAAATTTGTGAGACCCGTCATACACCTTTCCCCTGCTCTTGCATGTCATACTCTATCCTGCCCTCCACATATTTCTTTCCTTCCCGTTGCCCCTACCTCCCCTGCCCCATACTCCTAGAGAACTCCGCCTTCTATCCCTTACCCTCCACCCTCCCCTCCACTCCCTTTGTACCACTAACAAATACATATGAATGAGCATCATTAAGAGTATAGACGATATGAAGATCAGAAATTAAATGAATGGAAGTATGAAGGTGAAGGACGGACACAAAGGCTGTATAAGCTGAAGATCTGAAGTGAAATGAACAGGAGTATGAAGCTCTGAAGAGATGCACAGAAGCATACCTTCCCTTTTACTCTGCCTCCTGAAATAACGTGCAAGTGGGCCGTGGAGGCACACGGGGATGTGGGAAGCTGCCACTCAACCACAATCAACGTGGGCAGCCTTGTGCGTAAGAGGCACAATAAAAGGGGAGCTGCAAGAACAATGAAAGGGGTACCCCAAGGACAAAAACTGTCTAATTATAAATTGCTTTAATATGTTGGACATCTCAAATGCTCTCGTTCTCTGCAATAGGATAAAGACTGCTTTGATTCTGAATCTATTCACCTGGGTGGAATTGGGGCTGTTGTGGGGAAAATCTAAAACACACACAC